GGATCAAAGTGAAAAGGGGGAGGAGGGCGGAGAGGAAACAAAACATCCAATCAGAGCTGTTGCGCGGTAGTGGCGGAGCCAGTCAGCAGAAGCCCGCCCACAGCCCAAGGCCCCCCGGCGCCTAGGCTTTGCCCATCTGCACCGCGCTGATAATGCCCGCGGGAGATGTGTTTACTACACCGGCTGGAAATGCAGAAGGACTGGGGACCCCCGGGTACCTTCAGGGAGACGAGGAACTTGGAGAAAGTGATTGTGACAAGGCCAAAAAGACCACTTCTCCGAGGCGGTGCCCTAATGGGGGACCTTCATGCCGAGGAACAGGCTGACTGAGGAAGGCTTTATTGACTTAGGAGGGGTCTCCAAATTGTCCCGGATTTTGCTCGGACTCAGCCGGCAAGGACCTCCCCTCCTACGCCTCGGACTGCATCAGTAGGTACTTTCGCAGATAGACGGCCCCCAGGACGAGAACAATCCCCACAAAGGCTGCGATGGAAGTGGAAGCCAAGGCTTTGGACGCGGGGCTCCAAGCTGGGGGCAGGAGGTGAGAATTAGGAATGGAGCACTCGGAGGCGTGATGACACACGTGGAGCTCAAGCTGGGCCAGTGCCCCTCCTGGGGTCATAACCCTTCTCCACCCTCAAGTCCCCAGGATTGCAAGGATGCCTCACCCAAGGATGTCAGCGTCACGGGTGCTGAGCTGCTGCCGACCACCAGCCCGTCGAGATTGAGGCGCGCGTGGCAGGTCACGGGCTTCCAGAGGTCGTGGGGCCTAGCCTGGAACTTGTAAGTCAGCGTCACGTTGGCCAGATCCAGGCCCGTGAAGCGTTCCAGGCTCTTGGAGTAGATGACCCGGCCGCCACGCTGCAGAGTTACCACCAGGAAGCCCACCGGGAACACGTGCGTCACGTGGCAGCGCAGAATGTGCTCTCTGCCCTCCAAGACCGGAGGCTCCAGGATCACCCTGTGAGGCGGTTCTAAAGCAAGAGGGGGCCGCTGAGCAAGGTCCGCGAGCGCCCCCTAGCGCGACTGTCAACTGCCCCATCTCTGTCCCCCTCCCGTCTCCCCGGCAGGGCCTAAA